ATTGTACTTCTTTCTGTTGTCTTTTTTAGCACTGGGTCATCTCCATCATCAGCAACTAATAGTGATTAGTTGGAAAATAACAGGGCAAACTTGGAAGTGGGCGCCGATCTATCCTAGTGCCTGAACAAACACAAATTCATACATCTAATCACTGGAATAGGGATGCATCACTTACCAGTAATCTTTGACTCATTTTGAACCCAGTTGCCGATTGGAGTACGGAGCTGGCCTCCATCTGCCGCCGTATCCATGGTGCCGATTCCAGACGATGGACTCGGCTGGCCTCTGTATTCTGCCGTAGCCATTGCTGTTTCAAATCAGGAAAAATTACTCTTTACTGTTCGTCTCTATATGCTGACACTAATGCTCATTCGTAGTCTCACAAATCAGAAGCCATGTGTAATAGCAGTAGATCTTAGTACTAATTGCAATGATGTTTATGTGGCACAATAGCAGTACATGGTTTTCGTCCTTGAATCGTGGAGATCGTCGTAGTAGCACAAATGCATACATCAAATGAATATGAAGGAGAGATGTATATCAATTACCTTCAATCCTGGTGCCGTTGGCAGGAGATGAATTACTGTGCTGTCTTCTTTCTCCTGTGCCGCCGAGAGAAATTGCTGAAAGAAAAGAAACTGAGAACGGAGAGAAGGACGTGGGTTGTTGAGATCCTATAAAATTAGGAAAGTGGAACTGAAATGGCCACGGTGAGAAGAGACGGTAAGCCGCTATTGGGCCGACGTGGCTCGCATGACCAGCATGCCGCCTTTGCCGATGATACATGATCCCATTCATCAAAACCTGCACGCACGCACGAACAGCATCATCAGTCGTCGTACGTCGCAGGAACGAACAAAGAAGGTAGCATGTATCATGCAGTCACTGTACGTCGCAGGAACGAACAAAGAAGGTAGCATGCATCATGCAGTCACGTGTACGTGCACGAAAGGCTACTATATATCTACCGCTGTACGTGTATGTGTACGTGCCAGTGTTTCACGGGCACAGCTTGGGGCTAGCTACTACGTACCTAGGTAGTTGATCGTACGTATGTACTCCGTACGTGCTAATTACGTGTCGTCAGCTCGATCGTGTTTGACGGATGGTTGTTGATGTTGACTGATCGATTGAAAAAGATCTCGAGTAATAGTAAGCAGATCGAGGTTCGTACTCTATAGAACGAGACTGCATACCAAGTGGTTGGTCATGACGTAGCACTATCAGTACGACACCACGACATGTACAACAGCAACTGAACCGAGTTGTTGGTCATGCCGTGGCATTATGAGTACGACGCCCCGACATAGTAGTATTTGCTATTTTTTAGCATTTATTTAAAAAATAATTTTCTTCACTCAAAAAAAAAAAAAAAAATTTTATCAACTTACATTTTAGAATGGTTTCCTAATTCTTGAAAAAAAACATATCCCTCTATTTTGTCCCTATATATATGCCTATATGATAGGAAGTGAACCAATAGGCCTAACATGATAGGAACTAAGCTGCTATTGTCACGTGACGTCCGAGTGGGACTAACATGGCAGTAGGTGGACATGATCGGGCACTCGATGGCATATGACATGGCACTCGATAGGACGAGACTGCAGGCGAAGTTGTTGGTCACGACGTGGCACTATCAGTACGCCACCACGACATGTACCTACGTGTGAGACTACCAAGTTGTTGGTTATGACGTGGCACTATCAGTACGCCACCACGGCATGTACCTACGAGTGAGACTACCAAGTTGTTGGTTATGACTGATAGGCCTAACATGAACCAAAGTGAACCGATCACTCTTACATGTACTCCGAGTGCACTAATATGCTTAACATGATAGGAAGTGAACCGATCGGTCTCATGTCTTTCCAGAGTGATGAACCACTAGGTATAACATGATAGGAACTAAGTCGCCACTCGCACGTGTCGTCTGAGTGCACTAATAGGCCAACATGATAGTAATTTGAACCGAACACTCTAACCACGTGTTTTTTAACGTGTGAACGCGAGTTTTTCTTATTTTTAAGTTTTGGCTTTTTATTAGAAATTATTAGTGTAACTCAAAACAATTAGCATGGATTATGGATGAGGAAAAGATTGTGGAGGATGAAAAATAAATAAAATACAAAGAATTTGGATATGAATGGTGATAGCCTCCCTAGCGGCAGATATATAAAAAAATTAAATTTTAAAATAAATGGTGGCAAAAAAATTGTTGCCACGGGCCAGCATCAGCTAGGTTGGGCTCGACCACGAAGGGAGCCCAACCAGGCCGCGCCAGCCCCATTGGCCCAGGTAACGAGTGAGAGTAGGTATTGTGTAGTTCGATCGCTGCTACTTCTCCAGTTCTTTTATGCTGCGTTTTTGCGTGGTCAACGAGCGAGGTGGGACTAAACTAGTGCAGATGGCTGACTGCCTTATTCAATTGGCTTTGTTGGGCCATGACCTGATGAGCAGGCCCGGTTACCGGTCCCTTCTTCCCCGCTAAGCCGCATCAACCGGGTGAATCCACCGCCGCCCGATCCGTCGAACGCACCCCCCGAGGTTCCCCACGCCCGTGCCAATAAACAGTAGGCCCAGAGCACCGCGCTGCCCCCTTTGAACCCTAAAGGAGCTGCCCCGAGCACTAGCCCTAGGCCGCGCACCGCCATAGCCGCCGCCCGGAGCTCTACCCGCCGCCGCCGCCGCTGATCTCCGCCTTCACCGCGTCACCGGCGTCTAGAACCCTCCACGACCTTCGCAGCGAGGTGAGCAATCCGTCGGTGCCCGCCCCGTCCTATCTCTCGCTCTCTCCCGTGCTGTTTTTGAACTCCAGCACGTGATGATGTGCTTTTCCTTTGTCCCGTGGTACTTGTTTCCGATCAGTATAGGCATGTTTCATGAATATATTGTTGCTATAGTATTCTTGATCCGTTATATTTGTAATCTTTGGATTAGATGGATCTTGACCACTGCCTGGATTTAGGCATCTAGTTACCCGCATAGGCTGCAATGGTGGAATCACAGTAAGCAACATGCTCTGAAACTTAGACTGATGGAATCACACTAACCAAAATGGAAATCTTCCCACTGAGTTCTTCCCCACAATCCATGGTAGGTTGATGGCATCATGGGATGCGACCGTGATAACAAAAGCAACAATACTGAGTGCTCTATTTTCCTGTTTACACGCTTTCTTTGTCAATTTATCATGCAAGTTCAGTTCTTCCCTCATGAATTTATCGCTGGTTGGTCAAGTACATGTATGCTGTTCTGATGGATTTCTGTTCTCATCCAGACATTTCTTTCTTATATACCATCTCTCCCTATGTTAGTCTTAACACTATAGTGCAATCCTGAAATTACTGAAGCTTCCTAGAGACACATGATGATTTACGAAACTGCTACGTCAAACTTCAGGTACCATGGATCTTGCAAACCACCTCAAGGAGTGGGACGAGATGGCTACCAAATTAAAGGCGGACTTCGTGGATATGAAATTGAAGTTACAGCTTGACCGTTCCGACGCTGACATTAGAACAAAACAAGTGCGACAACAAAATGAGAGGTACATAATTTCTCAGCAAAAACTGCTAGACGAAGGGTCAACCATTGAGCAGAATGACGTTGCTGTGAGAATGGAGGTCGCACTGGGTCGCTTGCTGAAGCAAGCGTTACATGATCAGCGTGCTGCCTTTGCCGAGAAGATGAAGCAGGAACGCGCCGTCTTAAATCAATCCTTATCAAAGGTCCTTGAAGAAATTGATGCCAACATAAAGAAAGAGCGAGCCAACGTTGACTCCATGATTAAGCAGGCAGGGGAACAAATGGATAGGGAGTTGGAAAATGAGCGCTCAAAATTGAAGTCAATGATTCAGTCCTTGATCTAACAAGAGGAGGGCCGGTCCTTGATCCAAGAAGAGGAGGTCCGTGCCAACATGAATGTAGAGGTAACTACAGTACGCTAGTATTCCATATTTTGCATTACATAGATAGCCATTTGAACACCTCGAATCTTTACACTTTCAGGTATAAGATGGGATCTACATACCACGGAAATACATGCATATATTATTGGACAACGAGTGTGGACCGGTATATAAAATTTTCGTACAGTTTCCGTGTAAGAACTCCGTGTGGCCAAATTGTCCTTATTCGTCTAATCTATACGTGCAGGATGTTGTAATGTGATTTATCCTTCACTCAGTGAAGGAACTTTATTCGGATCTGAAGAAGTACTACGATAGTCGAGAAGAATTAGGCCAGTTTACAATTGTAAAACCAGCCACTTCTGTTGAGTTTGTCACGATGTTGGGGGCTTTGAAACCTTTTAGATACAGAGGAGACGGACAGTTGTACTACCTCAATCCTGCTCCTGGGAGTCAGCCATCAACTGGGTTAGTACACATTGACGGACAAGAAGCGGTAAATGAATTGGTGCTTGCTCATGAAAAAGAGGGGACTAAAATTTGTCATCTGTACCTAGTGAAAGGATGTAACGACGATTTGTACGGCGTGAGTATTGGTTCCTCTCCACAAAAAAAACTACTTCATACAATCATATATGTATAACATGACAGCAACTTAATGCAGGACATGTCGGACATGGAAACAGACTACAATGAGGAAGAAGAACAAGGCTACTTTGATGAAGAAGAAGAACGTTGACTCCATGATTAAGCAAACAATAATGATTGGTATCTGGAAAAGAAGAAGAAGAAGAAGAAGATGGGCTTTCACTGAGTGCAGACTTGTTTTCATTTTTTTTTGGAGACTTTGCAGACTTGTTTTCATGAACCTGCCTGCCTGTGTTAGTTGCGTTGTTGGGTCATGCACTATCTTGTTGCATTCATGATTAGGCAGCCTTGTGTCAATCAAGAAAGTAATAAGAATGTGTAAATGCAGGATTCCATATGAATATGAATATGAAACCTTTGCTTTCTGCATGCATATATGCTACCTAGCTGTTCTCTGAACTGATGAAACCTTTGCTTTCTGATGGAAATGCTTTGCTTCAGCAAGCTGCAAACAGCGGCAACGCACAGGCAGCTACTGCTATCGAATCCTTGAAGCCAAAGCTAAAGGTGAGTAGCTAGCCTGCAGTGATTTTCGCTCAGCTGCACTGCACTGCACGTTTTATCAAAGCAAGTTGCATGCATTGTGGTGAAAGCAAGATGTTTGTTGCTTGCAGAGGACGCCCCATCACCAGCTTCCCCCTCGCAAGCCGACCTGTGCTTCCAGCTGAGCTGAAGACGTGCGGAAAATTAAAGGTGCCTGAAATTGCAGTCTCTGAAACTTGCACCTTGTGAGTTATGAGGATGCTTCAATCTAATTGTGTTCTTTATTTCTTTTGGATGGATGATGCAGGGCCAGGGCTTACAAAACTTCCCTAGCTCTGGCTGGGAGAGATGATGAAGAGATGGAGTCGCTGGGATTACTAGTTATTTAGTTGGTTGGACAATTGCATTGGTTAGGGGAAATTCGGGATTGAGCCCTGCAATTAGGGGAAATTTAAGCATGTGGGGTTATAGATAGACTAGAGATTGCTAGTAGTATATGCTTATTTGTGGAAGTGGTAGTTGCCATCATCTGATTCAAAGTATCTTGGGTGGGCAGATGAAATGTATCCTCCCTTGGCTTCTCCGTTTGTTTACTACATCTCATATGAAATCATCCCTGGCACGTGCGTTCATCTCTTGTGCCATCATTACAGCTTATGTTCTACTGTGATTAACTGTGATTAACCATGTGTTACTGTTAGCGGTGTGACGAATGAGCCGAGGACGAGCTGGCCGGCCTCACCTGAGCCTTGAGATGCATGCCTGCCCCATTGGCGGAACGGAGAGGCCAGCCAGACAGCACTGGCTAGCTGACCGCACCCCATCAGGCCATCACAGCGATTGTGAGAGCTGCCGCCACGTGATGCTCTACCGCTGCCCTCTCCTGCCGTTGTCAGCGTTCCTGAAGATATGCAGCGGCAGGCAATCAACAGTGGGCGCGAATGCTACAGCTCGTCTTGGCTGGTCGCACTCGCTACAGAGGACGTGATGCTATGGACTACAGACAGGTGCATCTATCACTGCCGACTATCGAGACCGCCGGCCTGCGTTGAGCCGTTGATCATGATTCATGTGGCGCAACATATGAAACTTCCTGCAGGTGGCTCTGCTGCAAACCGCGCGACGCGGCCGCCGACGGGCGACTGGGAAACGGGGCGCGCTCAGCTTTGCCAGCACGAGTATTGAGAAGAGAACCACAAAATCAAAACACAGAAACACTAGTACCTGGCATCACTCACACCTCACTCGACTTTTTTTAGCAAGCTATTAAAGACTTTCACAGGAGCAGCTCCTCTGGCTTGACACAGAAAATACAGTTACATGAATCAACTGCACGATAAACTGAAAAAAGAAAATCAAACATGCTACATGCAACACGATTCCAGCACGTACATGGATCAGAACTGGTAAATGCGCAAAGTTATGAACTAGAATTGATGTACAGTGTGCCCAATAGTAAAGTCCCACTCTTTAACAAAAGATGTTAGCTCTGAGAACAAACTGGTCAGGCGAACTTAAAAATTACACCTTATTTCATCGTTGGGAGCTAGATTCCATTATCCCCTGTACACTGAAACCACCCAAAATCTGGCGTCCTCACCTCAGACAACCTCTTCAATTCCATGGAGGTAATGAAATAGTAGCTGTGTAGGTACAAGAGTGAACTTGCAAGCCCCAAAGATGTATTACTGAGCTTCAGTTCCATGGGGAATACAACCCGGTATGAAAGCTTCTTATACTGGCCAAGCTGCTCAATGTACTTGAAACGCTTTAGATGGATCACCAATATGTGGGGAGCCTTCTTGATCTTCATTCTCTTCTGTGCTTCTTGCAAACTGGAATGCGACCAAATAATGGAGTTCAGCGGTAACAAAGGACTAAAGTGAAGATGATGGTCCCTTCCATAAGGTAGCGACAGCATGATATTTTTCAAAATCTATACAACGTAGATTGGGTGCAACAACGGTACGAGGGAAAAGATTACTCAGGGGTCAGGGCTGTATGCTGTCCCCCTCCCCCCCCACCCCCCACCCCCCCTCCAAGTAGGATGACAATGACCAGTAAAAATTGGCATAATTCTAAAGCAAAGAATGCTGATGATGATGACAAATAAATACAACCCAAGGGAAACATGGTATAGTTACTGCAAAGACTTGTTGCGTAAGAATTTATCCTCTGCATTTAAAGTCTCAGAGAACATAAATTTTTCAGTGACTTGTGATAAAACTGTTTTGTTCAATGTCAACACTAAGATCAACAAATGTTTCATCCCTTGCGATTCTTGTTTCACATCTTAAGCATCTTGTTTCGTTGGTCAATATGCCCCGCAAAGTTTGTATGCATGTAAAGATGATGGTAACTTGAATCTAGAAGATAAAACACAATGCACTTTTCAATTAGTTCGGTCACACCGAAATTTTTATGGACCAGAGTAATCTGGCGGTTCTTTTTAACTCCATTGGCTAAAGGTTCAACTGGGCCATTAGGAGCTTTTTTCGAAGAAGACGATGATTGGGGCGAGTCCTTAGCAAAGACTTGACTCTTTTTCCAGAATATCAACAAGTTCATTCAAAAGGAAATTTAAGAACTCGTGTGCATCCTACAAAAAACCATGGAGACATATTTTAGTCAAGAGAAGTGGCTGTTTTGGAGCTACCATAAAAACTAATTCATTCCTGAAATGACTGCTTTTGAAGATACCATAATAATTAAAACATTTCTACAACAGTAGAAAAATGTGGGCACATCGCACATGAGAACACATACAACACTACACTACAATAACTCATATCCATACTTAAAGCTAAAGTAAATATTGCTATACAGTTTGTTACTGTGTCAATCCTACACAGTGAGACTAGCACAAAGAAACATATGTTGTTCACCAGCGTACCTATAAACAATAGGCAACAACAAACTCATCATTGGCAAATCATATATCAAGCACATCTTCAGGGAGCTTTGATTCCTACAAATGGAGAGGACAAACATCAGTCATAACTACACATGCCTCGCAGATGGCCTGTTTTCAACTTAGATGAACTACCTCTTTTCTCATGGAGCATGTTCGCCGATTGTGACCCTTATCCTTACACAGGCTACATTTGACCTTAGATTTCTTTGTATTTGAAATTGACTTCAAATTTTTCTTCGGGGCCTCTCTTCCAGGCACATGCAAGGGATCCAGCACATTACTGAACGCTACAGAATCAACATCTGGGGCTCATGGCAGCACCGGACTATACCTCTTGCCTCTGTTATCTCCTTCATTTGGCAGGTTCATAGCAACTTCATCCTGCAGAACGTGTTTCCGCCGCTCATATGATTCAAGTGAACGAGATGCTGCGAAGGCTGCAGCTTGACCGATATTGCGTAGCTCACGGTACCTCTGTAGGCTTTCAGAATAGTCATACATGGTGCTCTTCCTTTTCGGAGGAAATGCACTCTTCGCCCCCATTGTCCACCTTTTCAAAATACAACAGTCTAGAAACTTGTCTTCATCCAGATCGCCCAATACAAAGAAGATGTGTGAGCAGGGGGTTCCAATCGATTGTAACTTACCACAAGAACAAGAAATTCCCTTCAGATTGCCTTCATCACAAAATTGACATTTGACATAGTACATCATGTCTCCTTTATCCTTCCTACCAATAATATACTCACTCATATTATCGTCATCTAGAATGTCAATCAAAAAACACTTCTTGGCTGCCTTTATGCTGAACTGCACCGTGGCGAAAACTATTGGAGTGAACGATTTCATGGCTTCTATCTCAATAATTGAAGCATCTAGTTCTGTGCATGCCTCAGATTGCAATGCATCAGTGTCCAACTTTGCCTCATTTGTGCGCAGCCCTGAAAGGCAGTGCTCCACGTGCTTTACCATGTCAAGCAGTGTCATTTTACGATCTAGACGCATATGAAGCCTAGAGTTTAGGCTCTCACTCCGTTGGTTGCTCCTCAGCCCTAAGTAACACTTACCAACATGATACGAAGCACACCAGATTTCCCTCATATCATACATCTGATACAACCATGACTCCTTATTTGTAACCTTATGCTTATCCAAAAATTCCTGCCATTTTCTCTCGGTCTCTTCTATGGACCAACAATCATAAAGGAAACTCCTGAATTCATCCTTGACAACATCATCCTTAAGATTACGCACAATGTTCTGCTCAATATGCCATATGCAGAGCCTATGCGATGAATTTGGCCACGCCAGCCTAATTGCTCTCTGCATAGCAAGGTCTCCATCAGTGATCACGGAGATCGGATGCTTCTGAATCATGGCCTCGGAAAATGTACTCAGCAACCACACATATGACTCAATATTCTCATGAGAAATAATTCCACATCCAAAAATAACTATGCTTCGATAGTGATTCACCCCAACAAAAGGAACAAGGGGTAGGTTGTACCGATTAGTTTTGTAGGTGCTATCAAATACAACGACATCACCAAATGCTTCATAATCAAGCAGACATTGACTATCACACCAGAATAGTCCCTTCAGGTGTCCTTCCCCATCAACCATGTACTTGAAAAAGAAATCAGGATCTCTACGCTGAAGTTCCGTCAGGTAACTAATGAAGGTTTGAGCGTCACCGGCAGCAATTGTCTCCGCCTTATAGCGATGGCAGAAATTATACAAGTCCCTTGTTGTACACCCAACCTTATCATACCCACCATACTACATTTCCAAAATATCCATTATCTTGTGTTTGTGGATCCCAGAACTCTCCATCTCCACAATCTTAGCTTTCTGCTCATCGCTGATTCTTCTATGTGAACGTAGCAGACAAGTAAGCTATGCTGGCGCCATCGGATGGTTGTGTTCATTGATGAAATCCTTCACATACCACTGCCCTGTGATCTTATCTCGTGCAATCACAAATTTAGCAAGGCATCCAACACGGGTAATATTCTGCGGCTTCCGCTTCTTAATCGCCCTCTTCAGCTGCTTCTCTTCACGGAAACCTTGACGACTACAAATGAACTTCCGAAGAGTCATCTCAATGTGGCCATTGTCCCACTCACAATAGCTTCTCCTCACACTAAATCCTTTCTCAAAACCGTAGTTGTTATAGAACTGAAATCATTCTTCTTCATTAGCAAACAACTTCTTGACAATTTCATTGTACTCCAGCAAAGACTCAAGATCTGACATTTCCTCCTGTATAGA